AAATTGAAATTGGATGAATTAAATTGGTATAATATGGTTTAGATGGTTAAAATTGAGTTAGTACGGTTTGTTGGTTTAGTTGTTTTAATTAACTGGGTTAATTTGGTTACATGATTAAAAATGAAAAATTCCCAAAATCATTTGATTGGAAATTAAAAACAACATGTTCCTATAACGAATTTTACGAAAATGGTCTAGAAACCCTTCTCCATTCCTACCACCACCAAATTCTTACCATATATGATTTCTTACGGGTGATATCCTGATAGGTCCAAATCAGAAACTTAGAACACAAGACACAAGATATTTTTAATGGGTAGTTTGAATTACCTCTTTTTTGTATTTTTCTGTGGTTTATATAGAATAGAACTATTGAGTTCTGGATATAGAGGAGAATACATAAAGATAAAAACATGGCGAAGAAGATATGATAACGGACGTGCAATAAGGCCGTAATCCTTAACAAATTTTCGATAATATCCCGTTAAACCCAAAAATCATTGCAGTTCCATGATCGTCGTCGGGACAGGCCAATCTGTCAGAGCTTGTACTTTGGACTTATGCACCTTCACACCATCTACAGAAATAATATGCCCCAAGTACTCCAATTCTTTTTGCCTAAAATCACACTTCTTGAGCTTGACAGCGAGAAGGTGCTGGCGCAAAACGAGAAAGACTTCTTGAACGTTAGACAAACGCTCCTCCCATGAAGCACTATAGATGAGGATATCATCAAAAAACACAAGAACGAGCCGACGTAGAATGGAAAGAAAGACATCATTCATGAGTGCTTAAAACGTTGACGGTGCATTACAAAGGCCAAAAGGCATGACCAAGTATTCATAGTGACCGCTGTGAGTCCGAAAAGCTGTCTTTAGGTCTTCAGGATGCATTCGAACTTGATGATACCACGCTGTGAGATCCAACTTCGTAAAAAATTCCGCTCCATGAAGCTCATCTAACATGTCATCCACTGTACGAATAGGGAATCAGTCTTTGATTGTTGCTAAATTCAGTGCCCGATAGTCCGTACAAAACCTCCATGCACCGTCTTTCTTTTTAACCAGTAATACCGGAGAAGAAAAGGGACTAGAACTAGCGCGAATGATTCCAGCTTGAGTTCTCTAGATGTTCTTCCACAAATGAAGTTGTGTGTTGAACTGCTAGCCACTAGAGCCACCATCGAATATGACCCAATTTGAGCTTGCAACCATAGTGTTTGAGGAGCGTTCCATCCCGTCAACACATACATAATAATCTCTGTTTTCTCCTTGTTCTGTTCTTCCTCTATGAGCTCTTCTACTTCCTCATCGTCCTCGCCCTCGATAATAAACAACAGAGGTTGTCTACATATATGACCCGGTATAAACTTCTCATCGCAACTAAAACAGAGCCCCAAACTTCTTTTCCTATTAATCTCATCCCAAACTTCTTTTCCTTTTAATCTCATCCCAAACTTCTTTTCCTATTAATCTCATCCCAATAATAATTTCTTACATAACTATCGCAAGTAAGATTTCTCATTTGTTTGATTGTTCTTTTCTTCTGTTATTCAAGATTGTTTCAAAAAGGTGTGTTAATTTTTGTTCTTTTAAGATATTATATAGGATATTCATGAGTGAATTAAGAAGATAACAGTCACGAGATCGAAAAAGAGAAACTGTTATAGATATAGATACACACGTGCCTCTCCATTTTAGTAAATGGTTTAAGCAAAAAGTAGAAAAAATTACCTTGATGGTATATGTGCTGATATAGGTTGTCTTGCGCCAGGTCCATCTAATAAGGTTTTAAAGTTCTCAACAAGTGCAAGAACGTTGTCCCATGTAAACCTTATATGATGATTTCTTGTCCTTAACCTCATACCCACCAATACTACAAGGAATCACCTGACAGTTTTGGGTCTAATTCTGTTTCAGTTACCTAACAACGTCTAATAATTTGTGGGTTTAAACCCGATTAGCTTTGTTTATGTAGAAAATTCAAAATTTAGGTGAGTTCATGTGGGTTTCAGCACAAAACAAAGTTGGAGGTGTGAATTAACCAAAGAAATTAACCTTAAAACTCAGAATAATGGATTTTTGTGTTTCAGCCAAAACTATTAGCTCCCAAGTTCTTGTGATCCTAATCCTAGAGCTCGTCATGTTTCTTACTATGGGAAACTGATATATCTATATTTTACCACTTTTAAGCATGCATTTATCATCTATTTAACTTCGTTCACTCATTGATTCAGATCATTCTTAGTCTCTTTTGATGTTTTGGACACTTAGATAGGTTTTGCATAAGTCGTGTACATGTCTTGCAAACATTCTGCATATTAGAATTTCTTTGAGGCACTTAGGAAATTTGGATTTGAAGCATGAGCAGACAAGTAACTCAACTGTCACCATCGAGTGACCAACCAAGGCGGTGAATAATGATGCATGTCACTCGAGCTACACCCCCGGGTGAAATGATCGAGTGACTAGGACGAATGGAGCAAAGCAGGCATGTAACTCGACCAATCTGATCGAGTGAAACTATCGAGTACGCCCGTCGAGTGATGAGGAAGACCAAGCAAAGGAGCATGTCACTCGAGCCACACAAACGATTGAAACTATCAAGTGAGTAGCCAAAGACGGACAGAATAAGCATGTCACTCGAGGCACACACTCGTGTGACACCATCGAGTAAGCAGGCAAAGACGGACCAGAATCAGCATGTCACTCGAAACACACACTCGTTTGTGCATGTTAAGATGATTTCTTGGTTTGAGTAGTGTTAGGATTTTTGTGGATGGGATAGGTTAGGTGGAGAATGTTAGTCTTTTACAGTGTTTAAGTTTAGATCCGTTTGTTTCCCTTAGAGTTTTGATAGTTAGTTCTTCTCTGATAAAGTAGAATTAGATCCTAGCCATTTCAGTACCTACCAAGTGTTTAATAGAATGTATCAACAACTAATACTAGATATATTCTTACTTAGCCTAAGAGATTAGATGTTTAAGATGGCTATTGACATTAATAAGTTGTTTCTTAATGCTTGTTTAATGCATGTTTAATCAAAGAAATTTGAGATTAGGAAGTTCTTTAAGCTTGATAGTTTATGCCTAGAGATTGGATTAAATAGTATTAGAATTTCATGGTCTAGGGATTAGCTTGTTTACAATTTGTTAAACACTTTAAGTAGATTAATATTTTCTACCTACTCCAATAACCCCATCCTTATGATTTTCTTTTGTATTTGTGTTCTCTGTATACTTACTTATTATTTGCTTGTTATGTTATGTTGTTAGTACTGTTAATATTGATAGTTATTTCGTTCTAGCTTATGCATGATAGTCTATGTTCTGCAGCTTTAGTTTTCTAGCATGTTCAATGTGTTCACATAGGTTGTTAGAAAAAAAACCTTTAATGCTTCGATTGACTTAATCATTTCTGATAGCGTCTTGATTACTAGCATTTTGACTGCTAGCATCCACCTGATTTGACTAAAACCTATGTACTGCAATGACATGATAGTACTTTAATATCTTATCTATATAAACTAGTACAAAAATCCCTATATCCAGTCAAATTTTTGTGGTTGAGCTTTAATATTGTGGATATTAGCTATTATAACGATGCTCGATCACTAAAATAATTCGAGGCTATAACGTCGTAGCTTAATCCATTTGTGGCTTTTCACGGCTACATAGTTACGAATTAGTCATGCGTGTTACGTGACTCAGATTACTCACCTATTAATCACGAGTAGTGGCTGAGTTACTCAAGATTTGGCTACTCTACATTTGTGATAAATATATAACCACGCATTTATTCGTGGCTACGTTTAGTTTGCCACATTTATAAAAAGCAGCAGTACCGTGGCATGTTTGTCTAAGCTACGATTTGTGTGCGCGGCTTGTTTCTGATCATTGCCGACATCGCTGAGGGGCCAAATGACAAGATTTTTGGTGCATAAGCAACAATTTAGCCACATTTTTTGTTAGTGACTAACCACAATTTAGCCAGGTTTTTTGTTAGCCATGATGTGATGTGTAAATTGGTGGAACAACCACAATGTCAGCCACGTTTGGATATCGTGGCTATAATATAGCCACAGATTAACCACATTCTAACATTTGCGTGGCTATTGTGATTTTAGCCACGAAGTCTCGTGGCAATAATGTATATATACTAGGATTTACCTCGTGCTACACCAGAAATCTATAATTTTATATGTTTAAAAATATATATTTTAAGTTAACCCGTAAAAGATTAAAATGTAGACAACCTGTAAGAAAAATATAATCATATTTATGTAAATTCAAACCCATTCAATCATATTTATGTACAATATTATTAATTTTAATTTTTAGAGTTAAAATATTATTAATAATTTGTTTTTTGTAAAGTTTAAATATTTTTAATATTTTAATATTCTATAATGCTTGTTTTAAATATTATAATATTTGAAGCTTTAAAAATTTTTAATATTTTAAAAAGTTTTTAAAATTTGAAATTTATAATAGTTTGAAACTTTTAAGAAGTTTTAATTTTTTTAAATAAAGAACCAGATTAAACTGAATAAATTTCTTAATTTGGATGCCAAAGAAATCAAACTTCATGCTCTTTTATAGTTGGTAGCATATTATTCATATTTATAATGGTTTTGAACAATTATCTAAAATTTTATACCTAATGTAGATGTTTTACACACATTTTTTCCGTTATCGATTGAGTAATATACGTGAAAAGACCCGACCCGTTTTTCTAAACAACTAAACCGGATTAAACCATCTTAAACCAACTAAACAAGACTATATCATTTTTAACCAAATAAACAAGATTAACTAAAGCGGACAAAAAATATTATAGTAAACCAACAAAAACCAGCGGAAGAAAAAATAAAAAAACCAATCCAATAACTAATACTATTAAACAATCAATTATCCAAAAATAGCATATTCATCCTAACATGCTTCTAAATTCCGGAACTAAATATCCTAACAATTTTCAAGAACAATCACAACATTCAACGAGTCCCTGGATCATTCTTCTCTCCTCGCCTTGATTCCACGGTCGCACTTAATCTTAACCTGCACCACAAACACAATGAAATGCATGAGTATCATCACAAATACTCAGTGAGATGGTCCTCCCATCTATTAGGCTATACACAAAAGCTAAGCAAACCAACCAACATGCATAAACACAAGTAAACCAATAAAACTAGACATAACCAAATCGAAAAGCGCACTGTTCTACACTGGCTCTGCAGAAGCTCTGGAATCGCCTCTTGTCACTTCCTGACAACGAATCCCAACACGAAACTCGACCACATTGAACCCTAACCAAAAATTGTGCATCATACAACACCAAAACCCACAAGATAATAGAGATACAAACATAGGTCTCATCCATGTACAAAATCAAAACACACAACAGAAATTTCACAAGCTTAGATAAGCCATGGTTACGCACTCACCTTAAAAAGGTGATTTGAACAACAACTACAACTAGGAAAGACTCTCCTTGCGATTGCAACAGCCCAACAACACCCTACAACAATTCACACAAACAAAATTCTATTTGAACTAAACTGAACAGAAACAACAAAAAATACAGCCACAGAAACAAAGCCCTAAAACTGAAACGAATTGTTAACTTCCGAATCTTTTTGGTGGAAAGTACAACCTAGACGGCACAAAGCTTTCCAAAAAATTTAGTGCCGATCGGATAACAGATCCTGGCGTTCTGTTTTGGGGCAACAACACATCCTGTCATTCTAAAAAAAATCAGCGACTACTTTCTAAAATTATGCTGAAATCATCGCACTCCATGAGGCAAGTAGAGAATGTGTATGACTTAAACCAATAAGTTGACATATTCAGTCAAGCAGTGAAACCTGCATAAATACATCGCCAGCTGTCTTATATCAAGATAATGTTGCATGAGTTGCTCAGACGAAAGAATGATAAATTAAAAGTGATATAACAAAACATATTTCTCCAAATTTTTTTATCATATACCCAAGAGCTTGAAAAGAATAAGGAGAATGAAGTAAGATACTTTCGATCATGTGGGAATACAACAGACCTCTTCACAAAGTTATTACCTACTACGATATTCATATACATGTTCACAACCTTGGAATGCGTCATCAACAGAATCTCTAGTGTGTGAGTTCAGTCATTCGAGGAGCGAACAATGAACTCCGAGGGGAAGTGTTACAAAAATTCATATGGGTATAAAAATGGATATGGAGCCCATTATCAATAGATAATTATAAATAATGTCTCTATTTTACACTATAAGTACAAGAGTATTGGCCCATATTATAAGACACTTCTTCTCTACAACGAAAGAATGAACGTAATAAATATCTTTCTCCTTATCTTTCTTTATATACTTTCAATTACGTTTATCAATACAAATTTTATGAATTAAAACATATACTACATTTGTATTGGTCGAAAAAACATATACTACATAATGGAACTAAAACAAAACTCAGCTGTATAAAAATATATGAAAAAGCCTTCAACCAGTTGGGCCTCAATAGTTAAATAAAATTGGGCGTAAAATTTAAAACTAAACACACCCTATATTTTATATATTTTTGTTTGGATTTGAATATCTTAAAGAAAGGAGCAAAAACTAATTTGCAGAGATGTTGAAAAAATATTGCTATCTATTAGTGTGGGTGAATTGTAACACCTTGGTTTCAAAAAATATGGTGCTGTATGCAGATATGTTGAAAACATTAATTTGGCCACCTATTTCACCCCAAGTACATTTATTTTTTGGTCAAATCTCTGAGAATTCCACAGTTTAGCATGCTTATGTAGAAGAAATTTCAACATATTGACCAAAATCAAAATCAAAGAGCTCAAATCAATCATAGGGTTTTTCGATATTCTGCTTCTCTAATTACTTTCCAATCATTCAAAGTAATTATCCGATTGGAGTTCAGTTTTTGGATGCAAGTTTAAAAGAGTGAAAAATCAGTTGTCCCCATTTTAGTCGATGATACTGGCCTGTTGAAAGCTCCTGAACGCTCACACCTCCAAGTCCTATGTCCAGACCGTGAAGGAAACAATATTTGGTAAAATTTCACAGTGTTATTTACATTCAATATTTTTGGTTTCATCAAATACTTATTCTCATTTGTTGTTCACATTGCATGTTTAGACGTGATCTAATAAGGAATATTACAAAGAAGATTCTAAGTATGCTTAAATCTGATCTCCCTAAACCATATCTCACATATCTTTCTTTACCACCAGAAATCAAACACCGATGTACTCGAGTTTTTGTGGTAAGAATCTTCTTCATTTTCTCCTTGTTTTAAACTATTTATAACTAAATCAAGGTATCTACTAACCCATTCTTTCTTTTACAGTAAGAGTTTCACTGGGTCACAACCTGATACAAGATTGGAATCACTCCAACTTTAGATCACATAATGATCAAGAGATTCCAAACTTAGCTTGCGGAAGGTGGAATTAACGAGCTCGCTCTGAAGCACTCTCTCGTGAATCATGGGGTGGTACAGGGGATAGTTCATGTGATTGACTCGCCAATCGGTGGGATAATCGACTCACTCAATCAACGAACAAATAAAGGATGTTGAATCACTCAACAATTTTAATCCGCAGATTCCGATAGGCGGCTAAGAGACTCACTCACTTAAGACTAATAAATAACAATGACAAAGACTTGAACTTTGACAAGAAAATCTTTGCTAATACTTTAAAATGATCAAGGGTGTTTTTACAATGAGTCTAATGATACGCTTATATAGGGCTGAGTACAATGTTCTAAAAGCTAAACAAAGAAATAAGATATGCGATATTAATCAAAAACTAGCCGTTGTAGTCTTTATGGAGGAATCCTTGTACAAAGATTTGAGATATGATTGGGCTTGTATCTGGACGATTTTGGGGGATATGTGTAGAGTCTTGGAAGTTTCTTGATGTAAGTAACAGCCTTAAACACACACACAAACAAAGAAGGAAGGAGTCGTTGTGTATTGATGCCAAACAAGTGCAAATATGGTAAGTAGACCTCAGACTTGATCCACCTGATCAAGTGTGGTGTGGTAAATCCTAAAGGGTGTAATGAAGCCTCTAATTGATATGGAAACTCTCCAGGTCTCCATTTGAATATTTGTAATGAACCATTTAAAGAAACATCCATGTTAAGCTCCATAAAGATCATGTGAGATGCGGTGCACCAACTCTTTTGTGGTATGGGCCTTGAATGGTTTGTACGTCAGGATGTACTATCGTCGAATCAATTGCTTGGTGAATTATTCCTATTGAACCATTAGTCTTCTTAGGTTAATTTGCTTGTGAATAATTAACCCTAGGCCTTGAGCTTGTTCAGCACTCCATATAGGCAAGCATTCTCCAAGATGCTCCATGTGAACCAGCTTGGTGTGTGGGCTGGTTTGTCCCCGGTTTATTCTGTTTTGATGTCCGTATCATACCCTCTCTCTTGAAAAAGTTTTGACCTCAAAACTGTACAATCTATACCAAGAGAAAGCAAGTTACCCTTCATTCGATTTTTGGAGTTTAGGGTCTTACCTTGGTATTGTTGTAGCTTGGTTATGCGTAGTGCATCATGAGGTTCTTCTCCCAGCATGATGTTGTTGAAATCAACATCTTCTTTTTCTTTAGTGGCTAAGAAACATTATCTAAGCTTTGAATATGGGTGCATGTTCTTACGCCTTGTTAGTTTCTCCGTTTTCTTGAAATCTAAAGTCCTTTTGGATGTAGTTTCTTGATGGTCATTGTATGCTTCTATGGTTCCTATATCTTTATCAAGTGCATTATACATGAAGTTGAATTATTAAAAACAGAAAAGAAAATGTAACGATGAATGGTGGAATTATTCCAATATCGAATAAGGTTATAAGTTCCACTAACTAGTAGTTCTAATGGTTGCTTCTCAATGCTCATAATTCTTTCAACTTCTTTATCCTTGTGCTCCATAGTGTGACCTGAATCAACATTCTTTGACAAGAGCAAGTGTATCATACAAGAACTTGAATTTTCTGAACTTGTTGTAGCTAAACTAGCATTCGGTTTAAATTCTATAGTTTTAAACCTTCCTACCTTTCTAGCTGAACATTTTGCAGGAAAATGTCCTCTCTTATGACACCTATAATATATCACTTCTTTTAACTTACAAAGATTAGAAGACTTACCTTGAGTTCCTTTGCCTTGTGAGTCATGCAATGAGTTTGCATTCGGGTTTGTAGCAATAAGTCGAGGGTTTGAATTTATCTCATCTTTCCTTGTATTAGCATCTTACTTAGACTCACTTTTCTCCTTTAGAGTAGTTGTAGTCGTCATCTTTAGCTTGGGGATTAAAGCTCTCTTAGGTGTAGACGTCGGAGCTGCTAGGATCCATCTTCTTGGCTCGGGATTGGTGTAGATGCGTAAATTGTATACATGCATATCGTTGTCATCCTCCACGAAATCTTTATACAAAATTTGCTTCATTTCTTCCCAAGAAACTTCTGGTGCAACATTTTTCAAGACGAATGTATGCGTCTTGTTCCCAACACCTGAACGCATCCTCGATTAAGGTATCTTCTACATAAACCGTCTTCTCCTCCTCTGGAATTTGATTAGATGATAACCAATCTTCCATGTTTTGTTCCCATCGCAAATATGCTTCTGGACCTTGGTGATGGCCTGAAAAATTAATGTAAAGGGACTCTCTTCCAGCCTCACTTACTTCTTCATCTTCTTTGATAAGCTGTCCTTCTAAACCATCTCTTCCCGCCTCACTTACGGCTTCGTGCTTTTCATCAAACTCTTCGTCAAGTTCTGAATTATCACCAAAACTTGATTCATATTCTTCTAAACTGAATTGAGATTTAGTTTTTCCTCGGTAATTTTCCTCATGGTCGGAGTAAGGTATCTCACACCATGGTCTCTCTTCTTTCTTATGATGGAGGTCTTCTTTTTCTTGACTAAGCTGAGAATCCGTCTCCTCACAACATGACTCCTCTTCATTGCTGATTTGAGTAACATCATCTCCACGCCATGAATCATCTCAATGGAATTGTTCAGTTTCACTCAGTTGATAGTACTCTTCGTTGTACAAATCTTGGTGATTGGTGGCCTCTAGGGAATGATCTTGTGGCTCCGGTTCTGGTACTCCTTCACCACGTTCATATCCATAGTCTGAATTAGAGTAGTCTTCTTGTGACCACGTTTCCGCATGACTAACCTCTTCATCGGACCAAGTGTGCTTGGTTCGTCTTGTTCGAATCCGTTGAGACTGGACTCATATTGACTTGCTTCTTCTTCTAAATAGTCTTCCATGGTTGCGTTCCTTGGATATTCCCTTGCACAAAACAAAAGAACCGACAAAGATTAAGAGCATATCAAGCAGAGATAATACAAGAAAGGAAATAACAAAAAAATATGGAATTTTGTTTTTGTTTTTTTTTTGTTTTTTTTTTTGGTTCCTTTACTTCAAATAAATTTTCAAATTAAAAAAAAAAGGAAAAACAATTATTATATATATCTTCTGATTTTATAAAAACTACAATTATGAAATTAATTTATAAATAAAAGAAATATGATTTTTATGGCTTTTCGGTTAATAAATCAAAAATAAATAATAAACTTAAGCAAATAATTTTTTACTTTTTTTTAATAAAATACTGAAGGAACTAAATCGAATAAAGCAAGAGAAAAAAAAATTAATTTTTTAATTTTTAATAAAAGTTTTATAATAAAAAAAGAAATAGAAAAAAAAACAAATATAGTTTGATAAGATACAACCTTGGATAGCAGATTCCGATATGCTTAAGAGACTCACTCACTTAAGACTAATAAATAACAATGACAAATACTTGAACTTTGACAAGAAGAACTTTGCTAATACTTTAAAATGATTAAGGGTGTTTTTACAATGAGTCTAATGATCAGCTTATATAGGGCTGAGTACAACATTATAAAAGCTAAACAAGGAAATAAGATATGCAATATTAATCTAAAACTAGCAATTGTAGTCTTTATAGGGGAATCCTTGGACAAAGATGTGAGATATGATTGGGCTTGTATCTGGACGGTTTTGGGGAATATGTGGAGTGTCTTGGAAGCTTCTTGATGTAAGTAAGACCCTTAAACACGCACACAAACAAAGAAGGAAGTAGCTGTTGTGTATTGATGACAAATGGGTCCAAATATGGCAACTAGACCTCCTACTTGATCCACCTGATCAAGTGTGGTGTGGTGCATCCTAAAAGATGTAATGAAGCCTTAATATTACTTATGAACCATTTATATTCTTAGGGTTAATTTGCTGGTGAATAATTAACCCTAGGCCTTGAGCATGTTCAGCACTCCATATAGGCTAGGATTCTCCAAGGTGCTCCATGTGAACCGGCTTGGTGTGTGGGATGGTTTGCTCCCAATTTATTCTGGTTTCGATGTCCGCATCACAACCATAACAAAGAATTTCCAAACAAATATAATGAAGTAAGCTAGCGCATCATTTAGATCAAACTTGCGTGAGTGGAAGAAAACATGGAAGTAGAAAGGTGCTGAAAATTAACCGAATGGATGAGGGCGAGGAAAATTTTGTTTGATGGACATATGCAAAAAAATAAAGGAAGCTACCAAAAACTTTAAGAATCGAGTGAGTCGAAAGATGCCAAAAAATCTAAGAATCGAGGGAGTATAAGGGGTGGATTAGGTGTTCCTAAACACAACAACGGTGCAAAAACATATGACCGACGTTGGGATGAATTGGTAAGTGACTTATGAATTTCTGGTTATTACATTTTTCACTTCTACAAGTAACTAATGAATCTGGTTTTTCATCAATGAGGGTATTATATTATGCATACTAGTTAACGTCTCAGTTTACAATCTTGAATAATGAATATGCTTTTGTTTTGTTTGTCATGTGTTAAAGAAGTGAATTAGGACAAGAGCCTAATATGATTCACTGCACGAAACATATATACTTAGACAAGAAGGCAACCACAATTAGTGACATGAAGACCAAAAACTATATTGACGCATATACAAGTGAGGTAGAACGCCTCTAATTGCAATGTCAAACCGAATGAGCTGACTCGGTTAATTCTAACTGTGTTACACGAGAGGAGATTAACTCAATCATGTGTAAAGTAAGTAAAAATTCTCATCCTCGTTTAAAGCTTTACTTGTACAATCATCCAACTAGGAGGATAGATTCTTGTCTTCCTCAGGAACTCCACGCCAAATTTCTAAATCATGAGAAGAGATTCAAACCTTGAAGGAACATGAACTACAAAAGACGCTTAGATCAAGTACTTCATGGAACATGAACATGAACTACTTGCTTTGTCTAATGGTGTTGTAGTTTTTTTTGAGGTACTGATAAGTTTGTATTTCATCATTTTTTGAGCATGTATTCATCATCTTTTCAGCATCATTCACTTATTGATTCACACCATATTGATCACTTTTTGCATGTTTACCATATTGATCACTTTATGCATGTTTTATATACATAAGTAGGTTTTCTGCATATCATGCATGTCTTGCATACATTTTTGCATTTGGAGTGTTATCATGTGTTTTAGGACTTCTAAATGCCACGGAAGAAGCTGGTGTCAATTCTGGGATTGAGCAATAGGATTTGAAGCATTAAGGAGAAAAGAAGAAGTAATCGACTGCGCTATTCAACCAAGGCAGTGAACACTCGATCGAGTGTGTGAAATGTTCTTTAAAGACCAACTCTAATGAAGATGTTTCGTTGGGATTGAGATTCCGAGGCCTTCACCAGAGTTGTAGATAATTGAGTTATCTTTGCACCGGTGGTAATTTCAGGCCAATCAGAGTTGTGTATCAAACGTTATCACTGTTTTAGTGAACATATATACATCCAGATCGAAAACTGGAGCCAAGGAACATTTCACTCGACCCGCTACTCGATCAACACCATCGAGTGGAGCCATACTCGACTATGTACTCGACCTCCAACTCCATGTGAAGCCAGACTCGACCCTATACTCGACCTATCATACGAGTAGGAGCAAAAGGAGAGAAAATGAAGGAATTCGAGAACATACTCGACTATGCATGACATGTACATCAAAGATCCACTCGAATGAAGCTCTTGCATCGGTTTTTAGCTCCAGATTCCTTCATCAACATTGTAGAAAATGGAGTTAAATTTTTAATGGTGGTGATTTCAGATCATTCCGAATGGTGATTCATGATTACTCGAGTCTTAACCCAATAACTTAACCGAAATAAAGTATATGCATGATCGATCTCAAGGAGCAATGGTACACTAAAGACTTGTGAGACTCGTTATCAGCTAAAGCGGAAAGACTTGTTGATTGTTTTTCAGTTTTTGTAAATAAAAATGCAAAAAGAAACTGTGATTAAACTTATGAATTAAAGAAATTGGGCAGCACGGTAATTTCAGAGAATCAATGGATAACAAATAAAAGCGATAAGGAATTCAAACATGAAGAACTGTTCTTAAACATGAACACAAGTTTAGACTAACTCTCTCTCAAGACATTAATCACTAAATTTAACTATTCAATTAATAAACTCTCATTTGTAATTTCCTAGCCAAATTCGCATTATCAAACATGTTCATTTGGTTCACAAAGCATTCTAACATCAACTCTCGCATGTTAGAAATACAATGCTCAATTTACGTTCATTCGGGCATTTTATCGAACATCTCTGAAACACATAAAAACCTAAGTTCTAAAACAGGGTGATCAATCCTATTATAGCATTGAGAACATGTAATTTGAAGAACCTAAAGATTAAGAATTCCCTAAGACATCAAATATATCAAATCATTGAATTCTCCTACTTGGAACCCTAAAACCCAATTAATAGACTACTCAGACATAGCAATTGAAACAAAGCAAATAGATATGAAAGAAAACATGATGAAATTGCAAATATAATAAGAAAGGGTTTAGAAATCTTCTCCAAGTGTTAAAAGGATGGATTCTTCTCCCACAATTGTTTAGAAAGCAAGGAACAATGTTTAGAACTGAAAAATAGGAAGGATGGCTGCTAATAAGTCGAGCTTAGGGTATAAAAACAATAGGAGACGAGTTGGATCTGTTTCGGATCGAATATGGGCCAAAATCTGCGTCAGAGACAAGGGACCGATCGATCCAAATGTTAGGCCGATCGGTCTATTGCTCCCAGGTGTTACTTCTGCATCAGCTTCAACAACTCGGCAGAATGACCTGTCTGCACGAAATCGGGTGTAACTCTTGAATGCACCGTTAGAGTTCCTTGAAATCACATGCAAATGAAAGCTAACATCTGTTTTCATCTTGTGTCAAAATATGAGAAAGATCTAACGGCGGAAAGTTGTTCATCTGATCCCAAACATTTGATACTTCTACTTGAATTTGCATCTCCAAATATGTGTTTGCATCCCAAAACGGCTCATTTTATTCCAAAGCAACCTAAAACCTGTAGAGACTCTATAATGGACTGAAGTACTCTAAAACATACTTTGACTAAATAAAAGTTATAAAATGAAAGAGAAAAAAAAGACTTAAAACCGATAAAAACACAATATATCAATTCAAACGATATCACTGTTTTAGAGAACATATATACATCCAGAACACCTACTCAACTAAATCACTCGAGTGACCACTCAAGTCAAGACTTTTCCAGCCTATTTTGGTGATTTTTTGGGTACTCGACCTAAGTACTTAGGAGGTATGCAAGCTGAGGTTAGAGAGGACATATTACTCGACTGACATGGAGCAAAGTCAAGCATATTACTCGACCGTCAAGGAGAAAACATATAGGAGAATCACCAAGTCACTTGAGACACACACACGAGTGACACGATCGAGTGAGAAGCAAAAGACAGACCAGAATCATCAAGTCACTTGATGCAAACACTTTAGTGACCGACTCGAGTGAGCTGCCAAAGTCAAACTAGAATCATCATGTTATTCGAGGCGCTCACTCGACCAACATGGTCACTACAATTCCTGAACCGCTTTTTCTTTTTTCGTTTTATGTTTTAGGGTTATTCCCTAACATTACTATAAATAGGTATCTTCTGGCATTGCCCAAGCGATTGAGTTTTTATCCTTAGGTTTTTGTTTTTAGCCACCAAACAATCCAGAAAATTGTAATTCAGATTTCTTTTAAGTTATTAAGATTTTGCACTTAATTCTTTGATCATTGTTGTTTATCTTCCTGTCATTTTTATCATTATGTATGTTTTGGAGATTTTTGGTTTATCTTCCTGTCATCTTTATCTTTAGCATGATTTCTGTGTCTGAGTAGTGTTAGGGTTCTTGAGTATGGGTTAGATTAGGTGTAAAATGTTAGTTTGCTAGGTTGTTTATGTTAGATCCGTTTTTGTTTTCCTTCTGGATTAGAGGTCTACTAGCTAGTTCTTCTCCGATCATTTGGAACTAGTTTATAGACATTTCATGCCCGAAAGATGTATGATGAAATGTCTGAACCAACTAGTGCCAGAGATTTACATGCTTAGTTCAAGAGATTGGTTGTCTAAGATGTTTATTGACATTAATGAGCTGCTTCTTCATGCATGTTTACTACATGTTTTATCAATGCGAATTGAGATTAGCAAGTGTTGTAAACTTGATAGTTTCTGCCAAGAGATTGGATTGACTAGTATTAAAAGTTCATTGTCTAGGGATTAGTATGTTTGCAGTAAACACCCTAAGTAGATTAGCATGCTCCACCTTCATCAATAACCTCATCCTCTGGATCTTCTATCCTTTCCTTGTCTATTGATACATGTACAACTCTTGCTCAAATGCTCTCACTCGAACGTTTGACAACCCAAGTTGATTCAGTTGTATGCACACACGGTCGAAAGGCACAGACAACCTGTTCCAGCCCTAAGACCACATTCATCGTTTGGTACCAGCATCTAGACAGTCATGTACCTAGAACAGAGTTCTACCACAACAAGTGAAGATGGACAACGCACAACCACCACCTCCCCCAAGGGCACCTACGAGGATTGGAGCTAGTGATGCACCACGTATCCATACCCAACGTCAGGGTATAGTGCCCCCAGCTGTGCAGATCAAGAGTAGTCTGCTCTCCATGGTCTACTTATGGAGGATCCCCAGGATCACCTTGACAATTTGGATCGCCTATGCAGTCTCACAAAGATCAATGGTGTCAGTGAGGATGGTTTTAAGCTCCGACTCTTATCATTCTCTCTGGGTGACAAAGCGCATCAATGGGAGAAAACTCTTCCTCCTGAATTTATCACCTCTTGGGATCTATGCAAGCAGTCATTTCTTGCCAAGTTCTTCTTAAACTCCAGAACTGCACGTCTGCGCAACGAGATTTCTGGGTTCACTTAGAAGAACGGTGAAACACTCTGTGAAGCCTGGGAGCGCGTAAAAAATTATCAGTCTCAGTGCCCCCACAATGGCTTCACCAAGATGTCTCTCCTCAATACTCTCTAGCGAGGCATTCTCTCAAAGATGAGGATGTTACTTGAGACTTCGAGCAATGGCAACTTTCTGAACAAGGATGTTGACGATGGTTTGGAGCTTATCGAGAACCTAGCCCAGTCTGATGGTAACTACAATGAAGACTCTGACAGAACCATCAAGGCAAGCACAAATCTTGATGAGAAGTACAAGAAGGAGATGAAAGCTGTGAATAATAAGCTGGACAGAATCTTGATGAGCCAGCAAAGGAATGTCCATTTCCTCTCTGAAGAAGACCTGGTAATAGGTTATTACTGCTAATGGTATCAATCACACAGTATAATTGTAGTAAAAAGGGCTTTATCGATGCAATCAGGGAATCAGTGTTTAACAAGTTAAGCCAAACAAGCAGTTTAGATGCAATCAGTGTTTAACAAGTTAAGCCAAACAAGCAAGGTTTTAAACTATCAACTACTGAACTGAAAACAAGCAAGAGCTAGGCAAACGACAAGATTAAACTAAACAGAAATGAAACTACGACATCATCATATCAAAAACTTTATCAATCTTTTCTATTTGCTCTTTCTTTTCCATCTAAACTTTTTTTTGTTTTAACAATGAATTTGGATCTTTCACCGAGGTTTCCCAAGAAGGTGTACAGAGGAGATGGTGGCTCGTACTTTGCATGGTGCCCTGAAGAGTTGCCAATGCTACGAGATGGTAACATTGGAGCCGCTAAGCTCACTCTTGAGAAGTATGGCTTGGCTCTTCCTCGCTACTCTAATTCCCCCAAGGTCGTTTATGTTCTTCAAGGAGCTGGAACAGCTGGACTCGTGCTTCCTGAGAAAGAGGAGAAAGTGATAGCAATAAGGAAAGGTGAATCCATAGCCTTACCTTTTGGTGTAGTGACATGGTGGTTCAACACTAAAGACACTGAGCTAGTCATCCTCATCCTTGGCGAGACTCACAAAGGTCACAAAGCAGGAGAGTTCACTGAATTTTACCTAACCGGATCCAACGGAATCTTCACCGGATTCTCAACTGAGTTCGTAGGAAGAGCATGTGATCTTGATGAGACAATCGTGAAAAGCTCATTAGTTCTCAAACTGGTAATGGAATCATGAAGGTTGATGCTAGCTTGAAGATGCTAACACCAAGGAACGGTGACCGTGAAGGGTTTGTGTTGGATTGTCTTGAGGCTCCTCTTGATGTTGACATTAAGGATGGAGAAAGAGTTATTGTGTTGAACACAAAGAACCTTCCTTTGGTTGGTGAAGCTGGGTTTGGAGCTGATCTTGTGAGGATTGGTGGATGCTATATGTGTTCTCCTAGATTCTTTTGTGACTCGGCTCTTCAAGTTACTTACATTATTGGTGGAAGTGGTTGTGTTCAAATTGTTGGTGCTGATGGGAAAAGAGTTCTTGAGACACATGTCAAAGCTGGTGCTTTGTTCATTGTTCCAAGGTTCTTTGTTGTCTCCAAGATTTTTGATTCTGATGCCTTGTCTTGGTTCTCCAATGTGACTACTCCTGATCCCATTTTCACACTTTTGGCCGGGAGGACTTCGGTGTGGAAGGCTTTGTCGCTAGAGGTTTTGCAAGCAGCGTTTAAGGTTTTTCTGGAGGTGGAGAAGTCTTTCCGATCTAAGAGGACCGCTGATGCCATTTTCTTCCCTCCTTCCAACTAAATCATGAAGCATAAGAAGATTTAGTGGTATAGTTGTTTTAATATGGTTTAAGCAAGTGTTATGGTTCTTATGGACTGATGTTTTTTTTTCTATTTTGTTTACAATTTGAAATAATTAAGAAATGAAAAATTATTTCTTCTTAAAAAAAAAAGAAAAAAAAACCAAGTGCTACTAGCTCAATTGGTAAAGATCTCTAAGAAAAGCTTAAAGGTTGCCGGTTCGAGTAGCGCTTGGGACGAGACCATATAACATGCTATGGTCTCGGGTCTGAGGAGATGTATGAGCTTCGGTGCAGAACCTCTTTGATTATTCAAAAAAAAAGAAATGAAACTACATAATCAATAACATGCAGTGAACTAGAAATGCATGAACAGAAATTAAGTAAGGTAAACCAATCAATTAAAGGGAGGTTCTGGACATGAGATGGTGACTTCAGTGGAGATGTTTAAGTTCACTAGATTGCTAAATCAATCAACACTAACAGGGATGTTTCCTAGACAACAAGCTCATAAGCTAACTAGTTCAATCTTTTGACAAAGGCTATCAAATTCAAAGTACTTCCTAATCTCAACTTCTGGTTGATAAAATATGAAATGAATAGGCACTAAGACTCAGCTCATTAATGTCAAATAACACTCTAGACAACCAATCTCTTGGGCTAGACATGAAATTCTCTGGTATTAGAGTATCCGGCATTCCATCGAACACCTCTCGGGCGTGAAAGCCTGAAATCTAATCACCATTTGATCAGAATGGGATTAGTGTTACATACACTAATCTAGAAGGAAATCTAAACAATTTTACCTATGGGCAACCTAGGTACCTAAAGTTCTCCACTTGCACATCTAACTCATCCCAAAACCTAATGAATCTACTCAGATCTAAGATTCATCATCATGAACATAAACCTAGAAATCTCTAAATCATGCATAACTAGATGGATCTAACAGAGATAAGCAAAATAATACAAAGAAACAACACCAAATAATCAATAGACCAAAAGATATGGAGTTTACAAGATTCTGAAAATTCTAAAGCAAAATGAAGAAAAACCCTAATACAACTCGAGATCATAAGTCATTAGGCAAAAAGACTTTTTATAGCAAGTTTAGGTAGCCCTAAAACACTAGTAGAAAAAATAGAAAGTCGGGCTGATGGTGCTCGATCGGCACGGTCGGATGACATGATCAAATGGTTGGTCGAGCTACTTCTCTGGTTCACTCAAACACTCGATCGATTCCATGGCTTGGATCCCCCTGCTCGATCGGATGCAACATCTACACTTGATCGATTTGTCCTGATTTGCTTCTTTTCCCTTGAGTAAACACATGTTTATGCACAAAAACTAGAATGCATGCAATGCAAGGCCTAGATTCTACAAGCGAAGCACTACAAGGCAAATATGCATAAATGGTTAAGTAATGAGACCTAGAATGATTTAAAAAATGCATAAAACTAGTGCTAAAACGATTAAAATCCGTACATATCAAGATCGTTTTCAGATTCCTGATGAGGAGGGAGAACAATCTAAGGAGGTAAGCTATGTCCAAAATCAAGGTGGATACAAAACAGTATACAACTCTTATAAGCAGAACCCCAATCTGTCTTATAGGAGCACAAATGTTGCAAATCCACAAGATCAAGTATATCCACCTCCACCACAGCAGTAGGGGCAAAACAAGTCATTTGTGCCTTACAACCAAGGTTATGTGCGCAAACAACAATTTCAGCAAGGTTACCAAGCTCCAACAGGACCACCACCAGAATTCCAACCTCAACAAGCTCTGCCTCCTCAGGCACCAGATCATGACATGAAAAAAATATTGCAGCAGATATTACAAAGACATGCAAGTGGATCTATAGAGTCCGCTAAGAAGTTTGCAGAGATGAATAATAAGATGGACTGCACATACAATTCTCTCAATCTCAAGATTGAATCTTTAACCTCTAGAATGCTTCACCTAGGAAGAAAGAATTCATCTACTTCTTCATGGCAACTCTCAGGGAAAGCCATCCACGACCCCAAAGAGTTTGCAACAGCCCATGCCATCACCTTAAGAGAGTTATCCACTATCTTTTAGTAGGTCTCGCTGTGGCCTAGGAGCTTCATTTAGTCTCATGCCTTACTCTGTGGCTAGAAGGTTAGGCTTTACACAGTACAAATCGTGCAATATATCCCTCATCTTGGCAGACATAATGGTTAGGGTTCCACATGTCTTATTGGAAGATCTCTCGGTAAAGACAGGTGAAATAGAAATACCAACTGACTTCATTGTTTTAGAGATGGATGATGACCCTCAAGATCCATTAATCCTAGGAAGACCATTCTTATCTACAGTAGGAGCAATCATTGATGTCGGGAGAGGGATGATTAATCTCAATCCGGGTAAGAACTTCAAGATGAAGTTTGATATCAAGGACGTGTTGAGTAAGCCAACATTTTAATGGGCACACCTTCTCCACCGAAGATGAGTCAACTAAGAAAACACTCCAGCATGGTGTGAACGATTCTATGGATCCCTCATCAAGAAACTCAAAAGAAAAAACAATGGTCCCTCTCCTAGGAGACAAAGTGTGAGTATAAAGAGGAGCAGCAGCTGCTGTGACATTGACCCAGGAAAAAGAGGAGCAATGAGATCTCTGAGAATAGAGGGCGCCTGAACACCTCTCTATGAGCCATCTAAAGCCTAAAAGGCATAAATAGTCAAGCTTAGTGACTTTAAACAAGCTCACTTGGGAGGAAGTCCCAAAGGTATCCCTATAAATACTGCTTAGGATTTCTTGTTATTTTGATTTTTTTTTTTTTGGTTTTATGTTGGCTAGGAGGTCAAACAGGTTCAGAGATGTTCCTCCACGAGTGATGTACCAACACGCAACATAACTCCTTCCCCATCAAGACATTATGCTTATGACTATAGGGAGCACAATGTTTCTCCCTCTCCTCCAAGATAGTGCTCCCATGAGTTTAGGTATATCTAGAAGAAGGAGAAAAGGAAAACGAAGAAGGCAGAACGGCAGAAGGTAAAAGCTAGTTCATCAAACTTCCAAGACGAGCATCACGTTGACGATTTGACGATGGATCAAACCGATGATCACATTGAAGACATGACTGTTGATCCATGTGCGTATCATCTCGAAGACCTTACTGAGGATCCAGTTGAACATCAGCTTGAGGATCCAATCGAGCAGTACGTTGAGCAACCAGCAGAAGAATCTCTTGCGTAGCCTACACCAGGCGCTTACACAAGCGAGTCCATGACTGCATACCTGGACTGCTATTTTCAGTAAGGTACCACTCCAAACTTTCATTTGTATATACCATTGTATTGTCATATTTTTGTTTGTTTGATTCTCAAACCACCTCTGAAGTTTTTATTACACAAGGGACTGTTTAATTTAAGATTAGGGGAGGGTTTGGGATGACATTCGATGTTGTGTTCTCTTTTCTTATTTCAAATTTTTAGCATATAATCTACATTCATATATGTGCGTTGAAAACTTTTAAAAATTTGAAAACTTTTGAGAAAAAAAGTTTAAAAGCAGAGTGATCATATAGCTTGCATTTGCATGTTATGATTGAGTCTATATTGTTTCATGTAGGACTGTTGCATTAGCATAAGGGGTGATGATGATTTACACCTTATTTACTTGCTATGATTCACTAGTTAAGATCAATACCCTGGTAATTAGTTCTTTGATGCATGATGATTGAACTTGAAGTAAGCCTGAAACAAACATTGAATTCATGAAGAGCATTCTTGAACTTGGTTGAAACATGTTGTGATCTGATCTCATTCTTTACCTTAGAATAACTTAATCTCGACTTGCAAATATCTGGTTGTCTTTTGCTTGCATACTCATGATCACCATATACATATTTGGATCATCGTCCCCTTTTCACCATTCTTGTTGATCCAAGTAGCTGATCTAACTTTTGATCATTTTGCCATACCCACAGCATATCCTTTTGTTTCAAGCCAAATGATAATTTTTGAGTGTTAGGTCTTTTACCGGATTATGCTAGGGGAGAACGTGTTAGATTTGAGCTGACAAGATTAAAATCTTGAGTAGTTCTGAATTTCACTTTCAAATCAGATAGGACTAGGTCGGGATTCTTACTTGAGTTTGGGATTGGAATGATTGTGGAAAGAAAGAAGAGAAACAGAAAAAATTTGTGTCCTTAGGAGGAAATTGTTTTTCAAGAAGTTTACACTCTAGTGATTGATTTTCTAAGGATAGCAGGAAATGCAGAGACTGGTTCTTAGATGAAAAGAAAGAGAAAAAGTTTTGATGTCTTATGTCTGAAGAATAATACAGAACCATAGTAAGGAAGAAACCCCCTATCCACTAGTATTGATAAGAAACTTCTCCTAAGGCAAAAAGAAAAAAATACGGGAACGAAGTTGAAGGGTAGACATAGGGATCATTCGGGTTTAGATGATTAGGAGTAAGCACTTGGGAACCATTGGGTAGTCAAGGTTTTATTACTGTATACATTTGTTGGTCCTCACCTTTAGCATTTTCCCTAAATCTCAATCCATTCATTGAGAGATCCTTTTCCTAAAATTGTTTAAACTTTCTTGATTCTCAAAACCTTTTTCTGCCTAGCCAAGTGAGTTTTTAAGCCTTACACAACCAGATTCACATTCTTGAGTAATGAATGTTAAAAGGAATGAATGATTTGAATGCATGTGTAGGTCAAAGGATAGAATATGTTTCGGATTTGATGAGTTTGTCTAAATTCTTTAAGTAAAGTGCTCTATCTTGCCAGTTTTAGGTTCTGAAACCCCATTTTCAAACCTCTCTTCCACTATGTTTGTTGTTTGTTTTCTTGAGGGAAGCAAAGACTAAGTTTGGGGGAGTTGATAAGTCTGTATTTCATCATTTTTTGAGCATGTATTCATCATCTTATCAGTATCATTCACATATTGATTCACACCATAATGATCACTTTCTGCATGTTTTACGTACATATTAAGTTTTCTACATATCATGCATGTCTTGCATACATTTTGCATTTGGAGTGTTATCATGTGTTTTCGGACTTCGAAATGCCACGGAAGAAGCTGGTGTCACTTCTGGGATTAAGCAATCGGATTTGAAACATTAAGGAGAAACATTAAGGAGAGAAGAAGAAGTAATCGACTGCGCTATTCGACCAAGGCAATGAACACTCGATCGAGTGTGTGAAATTTTCTTAAAGACCAACTCGAATGAAGATGTTTTGTTGTGATTGAGATTCCGAGGCCTTCATATTGAGTTACCTTTTTACTGGTGGTAATATCATGCCAATCAGAGTTGTGGATCAAACATTATCACTGTTTTAGTGAACACATATACATCCAGATCGAAGACTGGAGCCAAGAAACATTTCACTCGACCAGCTACTCGATCAACACCATCAAGTGGAGCCATACTCGACTATGTACGCGAAGTATGGCTCCACCTCCACCTCCATGTGAAGCCACACTGGACCCTATACTCGACCTATCACACGAGTAGGAGCAAAAGGAGGGAAAATGAAGGAATTCGACAACATACTCGACTATGCATGACAGGTACATCAAAGATCCATTCAAGTGAAGCTCTTGCATTGGTTTTTAGCTCCAGATTCCTTCATCAACATTGTAGGAAATTGAGTTTACTTTTCTCTGGTGGTGATTTTAGATCATTTCGAGTGGTGATTCAAACGTTATCACTGTTTTAGTGAACATATATACATCTTGTCCACCTACTCGACCAAATCACTCGAGTGACCACTCAAGCCAAGCCTTTTCCAACCTTTTTTGGTGATTTTTGGGGTACTCTGCCTAAGTACTTAGGAGATATGCAAGTTGAGGTTAGAGAGGACATGTTACTCTACTGACATAAAGCAACGTACAGCATATTACTCGACCGTCAAGGAGAAAACATATAGAAGAATCACCATGTCACTCGAGAAATACACGAGTGACACGATCGAGTGAGCATCGCAAGATGGACCAAAATCATCAAGTCACTCGATGAACACACTCTAGTGACCAACTCGAGTGAGCTGCCAAAGTCAAACCAGAAGCATCATGTTACTCGAGGAGGTCACTCGACCACATGGTCACTACAACTCTTGAACCGCTTTTTCTTTTGTTGTTTTATGTTTTAGGGTTTTCCCCTAATATTACTATTAATAAGTATCTTTTGGCATTGCCCAAGGGATCGAGTTTTTATCCTTAGATTTCTGTTGGTAGCCACCAAACAATTCAGAAAATTGCACTTAGTTGTTTGATCATTGTTGTTTATCTTCCTGTCATCTTTATCATTATGTATGTTTTAGTGAATTCTGGTTTTATAATGTTTAGCATGATTTATGTGTCTGAGTAGTGTTAGGGTTCTTGAGGATAGGATAGATTAGGTGGAAAATGTTAGTTTTCTAGGGTGTTTATGTTAGATCCGTTTTTTTGTTTCCTTTTGGATTAGAGTTTTATTAGCTAGTTCTTCTCTGATCAACTGGAACTAGTTCATAGACATTTCATGCCCGAAAGATGTATGATGAAATGTCTGAACCAACTAGTACCATAGATTTACATGATTAACCCAAGATATTGGTTGTCTAAGATGTTTATTGACATTAATGAGCTGCTCCTTCATGCCTTATTACTACATGTTTTATCAATGAGAATTGAGATTAGGAAGTGTTGTAAACTTGATAGTTTCTGTCAAAACATTGGATTGACTAGTATTAGAAGTTCATTGTCAAGGGATTAATATGTTTGCAATTTGATAAACACCCTAAGTAGATTAGCATGCTCCACCTACATCAATAACTTCATCCTCTAGATCTTCTATCCATTTGTGTTCCCTGCTTTATTTCATTTGTCATTTGCAAGTTTGTTTTGTACTTGGTATTAATAGCTACTTCGTTTCTGTTTATGCATGGTAATCTATGTTTTGCAGTCTTACATTTATCGCATGTTCAACATGTTCGCTTAGGATGTTAGAAAAACAAAATCAGTTATGTTTAGCTTGACTTAATAATTTATGATATATCTTGATTGCTAGCATCACAGCAGATTGGATTGATACCTATTCTACTGCAATGACATGATAGTACTCTAGGTTAATTGGCAGTAAAATCCTACTATCAGGTACGGTGGCAAACACAAAACAACAAGGGACTGCCCCTAGGACCACAGACATTTAAAGATTTTATGGATGTCGTACACATGCCGCATACATTTATATGAAGGCCAATGATTGATGTGACATACCTAGATTGACTTAATCTTTTGTAGCATGGCCAGTACCTAAACTTTTATTTGTGGACACCAAAGATACAACTAATGCTCAATCAGGATGAGCAAAATTAGTAGGTACTATTTCCAAATCTCAAATTGTGATATCTACAACAGTAGGTACATCATTCGCAGACTCTATTTCTGAATCTCGTGGTGAGACCGATATGACCACCA